GCGCCCAGGTTTCGGGACCTCCGGGGGCTTAGGGCAGCAGTGACGACTTGGCCCAAGGGCCTGGACCTCCGGCTGGGCCCCACTCCAGGCAGGGATCCCCACCGCAGAGCTCCACCACAAAACTCCTCCAACGGGACCACTCTGAGCCACTGCCAAGGGTTCCACAGTCTATTTTGGGTTCACATCATGGGTCTCTCACTGTTTATGTGGTCGGATCCTACTGTCATGATTTGTGAGGTTGAGTGGTGAGGGAGGATGCAGACAGGACCCAGGATGAGGATGATGGTGAAGATTTAATGAATAAACCACAAAACGGAACAATAGGCATCAAGATGTTGCACGTCAAGGATCCAACAACAGACAAAGTCAACAGGTGGGACTAAATACACTGGGAGTGTAACCAAAGAAACGAGACACGGCTGGGAACAATCAGGATGGCACAGAGACTCAGGGAAAAACAGGACACAGAAAACCCTCTAACACACAGAAAAACACAGATCACTACAGCCTCCCAATTACAATGTTTTAAGTCAGAATACAAAACATAAAAAAGGAGGAGGGGTGGACTCCATTTTTAAGAATTTCATAAATTCTAATAAAATCTTTTTCGGTCATTATACCTCTTGAATATCTGGGAATTGAGATAAAAGGCCTTCAATGAACTCTGACACTAACTCTATACAAAAATCCAACATATGAGGAAAAAGTCTTTATTGACTTTAATGAACTTCTATCTCTCAAATGCATCGAATATGACTGTTTAATAATTGTGGGAGCTTTCAACATCCATGTTGACAAGACAGAGTCCCAAGACAGAGGGGCAAACAAGCTATGTGGTAAATTTGATAATTTTGGTCTGACACAACATCAAAACAGCAACACACACCGAGGACACACACTGGACCTCTCTGCACTTCAGACTTCCAGTACAAGTCTGATTGCTGTCATCGACAGAAATACTCTGATGACTCTGCAGTTGTTGGGTGTATAAGAGATGGACAAGAGACTGAGTCCAGAGAGCTGGTGGACTGCTTCGTGTCATGGTGTAGAAATAATCATCTCTTAATTACATATGAACAAAAAGGAGATGATTGTTGATTTCAGAAGGAACAGGGCTAAATCAAACCCTATTTCCATAATGGGAGAAGAAGTGAAGGTGTTTGAGGAATAAAAATATCTCAGTGTTCGTCTTGACAACAGACTGGACTGGAGACATAACAGTGAAGTATCTATAAGAACGAACAGAGCGGACTACATTTCTTGAGGAAGCTAAGATTCTTCAAGGTTTGCACCAAGATGTTGCAAATCTTCTATAAGTCTGTTGTTGAGAGTGTCATCTCTTCTGCTGTCATCTGTTGGGGCAGCAGCATCAGAACTAGGGACGTAAAATGGCTCAACAGCCTGAACAAGAAGGCTGGATTTGTTCTGGGGGCGACTGTGGAACCTTGTGAGATAATGATGCAAAGAAGGATTCTTGATAGGATCAAGAAAATTATGGACAACACTGACCATCCTCTTCATTAGACTGTCTTGGGAAAGCAGAGTACCTTCAGTCAAAGGCTTCTTCTTTTTCAGTGTAGTGCAGACCTCTGTAGGAGATCTTTCCTGCCAACAGCCATCACAATCTTCAATAACTCTTTGAAGAATCTAAATTAATGAGTTACAACATTTCATTTCCCTTTGGGATAAATAAAGTATTTATGAATTTGAATTATCAGTAAGGGTGTGAATATTTCCAATGTCTCTGTAACTGATGTCACCCTATCATTTCATTATCTTTGAAAGTACAATCACCACTGACTCACTTGGCCAAAAAGCTGCTAACACATGTTCTTTCACAGACAACACAGCAGAAACATTTCATTAAATCTACTCTTCCTCCTCAACCTTGTGCTGTAATGATGTAGATGAGTTGGTAGGTAACTTCCACTCTCATTGATTCCATTGCTCCCATTAGAGTGAAGGTTGTGTCTGGTAGGAACAAATCTCAGTGGAGAAATGAACAAACAAATCTGCAATACAACTCTGCCTTAGGGCTGAATGTAACTGGCGTGAAACTCAACTTCACATTTATTATGAAATCTATACAGAAAGACTGCATAGCTATTACTCAAAACTAAAATGTGCAATTGAAACGTTCTTTACAGAAATCAAATTGCAACAGTTGACACAAATCCTCCTGTGACCGAATCACCTGACCTACAATGAAATTGCCAGTTTCTTTGCAGAGGAAAATGTTTTAAAAATCTGAGGATTAATCTGCAAATCCACACTAAATTCAGTACCAATGCTGTGCCCAAACAAAATAAATGCAGAAAAAAATTACTCAATTCCAACTACTTAACTATAAGAGATTAGAAGAAATTATAAATGAATTAAGCTCAAATTCCTCCTGTCTTGATATCGTACTCACACATTTTATTAATAAAGTTATGGCTGTCTTTGCAAATGAACTGATTCAAATAGTAAACTACTCCCTCTCATCAGGTGTTTTCCTTCAGACTTTAAACAGCCTGGGGGAAAAGACTTGTCAGTGGTTCTTTTTTTATCAAACCACTGATAATCAAATCAGTACTACAGAATCATAGGCCGACCTCTGATCTCCCATTCATCAGCAAAGTTATTGAAAAAGCTGCTTGAACAGTTAAATGGCTTCCTAATAACCAACTGCTTTGACTCCTTCCAGTCTGGTTTCTGGTCTCACCACAGCACAGAGACTGGCCTAGTCAAAGTGTTCAATGATATCCATATAAACACAGATGGTGGAAGAACCACAGTGCTGGTTCTGTTAGACTTCATTGCAGCTTTTGACCCTGTTGACCATGACATATTACTGAATCAACTAGAAAGTTGATTCAGTAATATGAATCAACTCTCCAGTTGATTCATATCAACTGGAGAGTTGATATGAATCAACTCTCCAGTTGATTCAGTAATATGTCAACACTGGTTGACATATTACTGTCAACCAGTAATATGTAATAACCCTGGTTCTGAGTCCAGGGTTGACTCAGAACTCAACCCTGGACCAGGGTTGAGTTCTGGTCCAGAACTCAACCCTATTGTTACATAAACAATAGGGATTTCTTTGTTTCAATTGGAAACTTCTCATCAAAGAGGTCAGAGGTCACATGTGGTGTACCCCTTGGTTCAATCATAGGACCCCTCTTATTTAATATTTATATGATCTCATTAGTTCAAGTTATAACAGGAAATAAAATCAGCTACCATAACTACATGATACACAGCTCTATATTACGATGTCACCAGGTGACTCAGAACAGATGCTTAAAACAGATAAATGTGTGAATGTGCCACAATTTTCTACAGCTGAACAGAAACAAAACTGAATTTACCACCTTTTGACCTAAAGAATAACGATCAATGCAAGGGTTCACTTGTTACAGCTTGAAACTACTCCTAGATTTTGGGAGTAGTTTCTGAACATCACCCTAGTTTTAAAGTCCCGACACTGAAATACTTTTATTAGTTTATAAATCTCTGAATGGTTTAAAAGCACAATATATTAATGATCTGCTGTTGTTGTATCAACCTTCCAGACCCCTCAGGTCTTCCAGAATCAAACATGGAGAAGCAGCATTCAGCTTCTATGCACCTTAAATCTGGAACAAACTTCCAAAAAAACTGCTAAACAGAGTTCCTTTAAATCTAGACTAAAAGCCCAGCTAGTTAGAATTGCTTTTGAAACATAATCAATGAAACAATCAATAATCTGATGTGTAATGATGACATTTGACAAAATGTAACGTTTCAATTTTTGACTTCAATGATTTTGTATTTTTGTGTTTTTATGATGTAAAGCACTATGAAATGCCTTGTTGCTGAAATATGCCATACAAAAAAATTTGACTGATTGATTGTGTGATTTCTCGTTTCTGTTGTGTACTCCAAATTCCTTGTTCTCGGCCTGATCTCTGTCAGAACCAATGCTGGTTCTTCCTGATCTTGTTTTGTCAAAGGCATTCCCCGTCCCTCCTGGCTCGTCTTGATCTGCCCTCCTTCGCTTTCGCTCTCTGGTCACCATCCTGATTCCTCTGCTCCAGAACCTTAACCACCTGCTCACCAGCCTGCCACCCTCCACTCTCACTCATGCATGAAGACATCATTCAGAAAACACCATCCTCATATCGCTCCCCCACTCGCAGCTGATCTTGGTCTCGGTGGATAGACGACCCTCCTTGGATTTCCCTCACCCCCTTTGCAGTCGCATACTGATCTCCCACCCAGTCCCCTTATTAATTCACTCACCTTTTTCTCCATCAGTGCAAACGCTTTCTGGTCCTCATCTCCTACCATCAGTTCTCCTGTCTATTCCTGCTGCTGCAAATAAACTTCTTACTTTAACTGTATCCGAGTTTGAAATTGTCGAATGCATCAGAGCCTGATATAACAAATATGACACAACCGCAAATATAACCTGCAGTTGCGCTTTCAGAGGTGCATGATGAGCATTTCATGAGAATGATATATCTTTGTGAACAAAGAATTATGTGCGGAGTGTGCGTTTACATCTCACACACACTGCCCAGTGCGTGGCTCTGACTGCGCTGCAGCTGATAAACATATATTCACTGTCTTGTTATCCCTAATATTGCATATCATTTTAGTTACCTTGGTTGCTTTTGTGTGGGTTCTCATCCATTTCTCAACTTCCTCAGTCTTCTTTTTGTGGACAGCAAGTTCACCCTGTACAAAGACAAAGCTATGTTATAAGAGAGACATTTAATTTCTCATTTAAGGTGTTTGTGCTGAAACATCATAAATGTTTACGGAACATAATAGCATACTGAACATAATCTCATAAATACACTAGACATGTTCATAGTTCAGCAATGCAATAAAGGATACAAATATCCCAATTCTTTTTCTAATAATTACTTTATTTTAATTTTACACTTTTGGCAGTATTTCTTGTGGGCCGATGGGCAGGAGCATCGGCCCAGTAGAAAGCTAGGAAGCCACTGATTCCAACTCTATTTCTGGCCGATGTCCACTCACTGGATAACAAAGTGGATTTGTTATCCAGTGAGTGTTTTCACAGAGATGAAGAACTGTGCTGTTCTTTGCTTAAGAACAAAGAAGATCTGTTTTCTGTTGTTCTTCTATGGCATGTTGTTTAACATGCCAAATCAATGGTCTTCAGTGATTCCGAGCTCTGAGAAATTATGACAGTGAAATGTCAACCATACCATCAGTGGAGTTTCCTGCAGTGTTTCACTATTGTTTACATCCCGCTGGGTGCTAACGCTAATGAAGCATCAGAGGAAATGTTTGACACTATTACCTCACTGCAGATAAAACACTCGGAGAGGTTTTATGTGGTTGCAGGGGACATTCTGCTCAGTTTTTACCAGCATGTCCCCTTGTCTTTCCCACACTCTGGACTGTGTGCACATCAACATTCAACATTCATGATGCATACAAAGATCTCCCTTGCCCTCATCTTGGCCTCTCCGACAACATCAGGGAGGCCAAGATGGGGCCTCTCCACCAGCAGGCAACTGGCACCATTCTGCTGATGCCAACATATCATCCGCTGATGTGACGGATTAGGCCAACTAAGAAGACAGTCACTGTGTGGCCCAGGGATGCAGCTTGTGTGCTCCAGAATTGTTTTCAGTGGAGAACAGAACACACTTCCTCTGTCCTGGGCTTCATCTCTAAGTGTGCTGATGATGTCACCACCACCAAGACAGTAAACTGTTACCCGAACTAGAAACCCTTGCTGAATGCTGAGGTGAGAGTTCTGCTGAAAGTTAGTTATGAAGCATTCAGGACAGGTGAGGCATCAGCACTCTGAGAAGCGAGGACAGAACTGACTGCAGGCATTGTGAGGGCCAAAGTCACATACCAAAAGCATTATCATCGGTAGTCATGAGGTGCTTCAATAGGCCAATCATGGCCCACATCAAGGATTTCATCAACGTCTGTGTGGGTCCCAATCAGTATGCCGACAGGAAGAATCGCTCCACTGCTGAGCCATTTCATCGTCGGGAGAGCCGGGAGAGTGGACCAATCACATCGCTGGTGCCTCTGCACGTTGCCTCGAACAATGCCGCTGTTTGATCTCTAGCTTACCTTGGTGTGGGTCACGCACGCCTCCTTTCACTCAAACTGGACACAGGCTGACCTG